CCAGGTAGCACTTCTTTTGTACAATCCTCAAACTGTCCATTTACTGGCTCTTGGTAGTGCTGTTCCACTAGTTGCTTAAACCTTTCAATTGCCCTGTAGACACTGTGAGAACATCTTTCTTGTTACTGTTTACATAATCAGTTACGTTTCTGTTTATTTGGACTTTGTTGATTAAGTTGTTTGATTAAATTCAGGGACATCTTAAATATCATTGACAAAGAAATATAGTGTGTCTCACTCAAAAACGCGAAATTAAAGTGAGTCAAAATACAAAATTTTCGCAAAATCGCGAAATTAAGGTGTCGCGAAATATGCGAACCTCAAAATCGCGAAATTAACGTGTCGCGAAAATTTCATGTAATAAGGTAGATCACAGGCAGCCTAACAATACTGGTTTGAGTTTGTCGAACAGCACTCAGTAAATGACATGATTCCATTAGAAGACGAGGACGACTAAAAATAGACCCTTTGCATAAATGGTGCCTAAATTTGAATAACAATACAGTATACATACTTAGCCTCGCACTCATGTTTCCAGAAAAAGGCTTTTTCACATGAATGTGAGGCTTAGGGTGTATAAGTATTGTTATTCAAATATCGGCGCCATTAATGCAAAGGGTCTATAGCAAGGACGGAAATAATTACAACATGGACAAATTTGGTCTCGTGATTGCAAAGTTGGCGATTAACAATTACTAAGAATCTAAACCAAAGTATCGTTTGGCTTAAAATCAAGAAACATTTTCTAGATTTTGCACAGTTTTTCCCTGAAGAAAACGACGTCTATCATCTTTTGCGATTTTAACGCTAATTTTTCCAATTTATTCCAATACTTACTTATATTATGACAAGTTCCAAAGGACGGCAGGTGTGCTGACATAAATTAAACACGATGGAAAATACAAGAAACAAACTAAAATCTTCCCGAAATCTTTACTAACTGACATGACTGCACGTCACAAAACAAAGTTATTGTCAAAAGTCGTCGTTATCAACAATCTTCTTGCGAAAACTATTTGCTTTTTAATGAATAACGTGCTTTTAAGGGCAAAAGATAATTGGAATAAAACATTAATATGCAAGCGGCCAAACCGAGTTAATTGGAATCCTGTCTCTAGTCATATTCCTATTGTTAAAAACCTGGAGAAAAATATCTGCTGTGGTGTTGGAAAAATAACAAGTTAATGACTTCACGAAAGGTCTTCTTGAAATGTCATATATCTTTTTTAATAACGAAGTCGTAGTGATCCCACAACGGTTAATAAAAATCGTATTTTTATTCCGTTGAATGTTCCTCAAAACCTGATAAATTAAAATGCTACCAGTAAACAACACAGGCCCACCTGCCCGAAGTTTACACAAGCGATAAATGATTCATATTTTTGCCCATACCCAGACAAAAGACTTTTGAAAGTGGGCCAGATATCATTGGTTGATATCTGCTCTCAGCGCCTAACTCACTGTTCGTCTCTACGGCAGCAGCTTTTATTTTCCTTGGCAACGGTCTTCTTAAGTGCCTCGGTCACTTAGCACAACCTCGCTTTATGCATAAGTGATTAAGGATTTCACGTAGCCGCAAATCGCTCGACAGATATTTTGGTTACTGAATGATTGCGACATGTAATAACAGAATATTTGATGTTAACTTGCCTTCGAAAGTCGAACTACGCGTCGAGCAATTGGTTACAATGTTGAATTTTCTTTAACTAAGGATTTATCGAATTTGGATCGCTATCGGGAGAACAGACAAAACTAAAAAGCGATAATCATCTTGGTAAGATGCACTGAATTGCAATTATATTCCTTTAATGTTGTTTTAGCGATTTTACTCCTTTCTAATCCTGCACGTTACTTTAACACTAGAAGAAGCACACTTTAAAATAAGCACTTGACGATACCAAAGAGAAAGCCAGAGATGTTTGACGTTTTCGAGTGAAGTGTGAAGTTCAACCTAGCGATAAATATGCTTCAAAATCAAACCTGTCAAAAAATAAAATGAGGCTGTTTGACATTTTGACGGTTGCCTAACTCCAAACTCTACACAAAGACAATTCAACGACATCACAGTAATCAATAAACATATCGCCATTAAAGTAGTAGTAGTCGTATTATATTATACCACAGTATATCTCGCTTCTCTTAGTGTGCTTATATGTACTTTTTTATGTGTTTATATGTACCTTTTTTTCCTTTCCTTAGTGGGCATTTGCGCGTTCAGTGAACTTTGCTTTACTATTTTTTTTACTCTAGATTTAAATCATTGTGTGTCAATGAAAGCATTTTTATTTTTTGCCGGGGTCTTAAGTATCTATAAAGCAGTCCTTTACATAAGCCTTATTGCATTCTCTGGGTTCCCTTGCCTTATAGACTGATATTTTGTAAAAATATTTATACATGTAAATGGAGAAAATAACAATAACAAAAGAAACAAACACAAAAGTTCAACGCAATCGATAATTCATTTGGAAATACTTCGTCTTATTTGTAGGTTCAACAGCTATGTCAATTAAGTACCCCGTCCAGGTAGACTGTATCAGGCAGGTGCCATACTCTGCGCTAGAAACAGAAGCCGAAGTTCTGACAGAAGAACTCGTGCACACTGAGAAAGCATCAGAGAGCAGCGATGACGAATACGACACGGACTTGGAAAGCGAGTTCACAGAAGACACCGACCAGGACAACAGACAGGGAAGGGGACATTACCTCACGGCTTGTAAAAATCTCGGCTTGATACCTTGTACGCCGTTCCTTCGGCAGCTTGGCAAGTCCGAAATGAATCTTAAACATTACAATCTCGGGTCTGTGGGTGCCGAGGCAGTGGCTGTTGCACTGATGCAGAACACGCTGGTACTAACATTGAACATCGCTGATAATTCCATCGGCGCGGACGGAGCTATCTACATCGCCAAGATGCTAACAGAGAACCCGTTTATCACCGAGCTGGACGTTTCGCAGAATGATCTACGTACACAAGGGGCCTACGCCATGGCGGAAATGCTAATGGAGAACAACGAAATTCTAGAGCTTAACCTCTCGAACAACAGCTTCCAAGAAAAGGACGCGGAGCCCATTGTTGAGGCCATGAAACAGAACTACACCCTAAAATCGTTGAATCTGAGTCACAACCGCTTCTGCGAGTTTGGAGGAAAACTGCTGGGACCAGCCATAGATGCAAACGTTGGATTAGAATACCTTGACTTGAGCTGGAACCACTTGCGAAGAGAGGGCGCTGTTGCGATTGGTTATGGCCTAAGAGGCAACTGCGCTTTGAAATTCCTGGACTTGTCGTGGAATGGTTTTGCCGACGACGGCGCGAAAGCTATCGGTGAAGCTCTAAGCGAAAACAACACTTTGAACGAGTTGGATATTTCCAGTAATCGAATTTCTGTTGTCGGAGCGAAATGCTTAGCCAACGGACTAGCTCAAAATTCTACTCTGCAGATCTTACGGGTTGGTCAAAACCCGTTTCAGAACGAGGGTGCCTACGAGATTTTAAGCGCCATAGCCAAGAACAAAGAGAGCGTCATAGACGAGTTGTACTTCGACGAGATTCCTGTGAATGCGGAATTTGAAGATCTTCTGGAGGACGTACTCGATGAAAGACCTAATCTGAATGTGCAATGCGGTACAGCCATGAGAGGAAAAGACAGGGTTAAGAGAATGAAGAAAAAAGTGGTGAGTAATGAACCAAAAGTTATCTTAGGCCCTGTGCACGCTACGCCTGAGAAATTTGAAAACGCAGCTTTATTTCTGTGGTTAGGCCTACCATCCACACTAATCCGTCACAAAAACAGAGCTTTTCGAAAACGATCTTCAAACCGGAGGAGTTTGAAAACGCCAGCTTTTCGCTTTCGTGTGGAAAGAAAACATTTTGAACACGGAGCTTTTTGAAAGCGATGATCTCACGATAATCATGGGATTCCCCGCCCGATTTTTTTTTTTTCAAACACAAATCCAAAATGATCGGTGATTGTAGCGTTTTGAGATTTCTCCGGCGTAATGTGGACGGAAAACATGCGATGCGATTTCAGAGTGAAACCTGCGTTTTCAAATTCCTCTAACGCAGTGTGGACGGGGCCTCAGTTTATTTAGAAGGTCAGGATGGGGTTTACATGTACCTGATAGCTGACCAGTGATCAACTGAATTTTAACCGTCAGCTGAGAAATCACCGAAAATCTAACTAATAACTTGCCAAGTGTGGGCGGTGTAGGTGGAGTCATACTTGTTAAAAAGTTTTCCACATAATTCAAAAGAAAAATTGATTCGCGATATTACCATGTCGTATTGATACTCACAACTTCGACTAGCCCGCTCTATCAAAAGGCTATCCGCTTATGAGCTGTACTGAACCGTTTTAATGTAATATCGACGCCTACATTTTGAGAGCTAGGTTAACGGTTTATTTCACTATTTGCATTAAGAATATTGCAGTGATGGTCATAAGACCGAAAAATCATTTTACTTGAGTCTGCTTGACAAAGGTAATTAAAGAAAAACAAAATGTAAGTCTGAACGTTAACATTGGGGCATCTTTGCCCGATAAAAGAAAACGTAATTTCATTAAATGACGGAAAGTACAGTTGTCGTGTTTTGGGCGAGAAACGGGTGACGGGCGCGGCACATAATGGCGGGAAAAAACTGGGAGTTGTGCCTGTCGCTTGTGAGTCACAAGCGCATTATGACTGGAGAACACCACACCAAAACGTCGGTTAACACTGAGGGGTCCATTGTATTCCTGACTGGCAACACTACCCAACGCCTCTTTCAGGGAATAGAATAAGAATGCTTTACATTATTATATGTATTTTGTCTTTCAGGATGTTCTCAATTTGCTGTTAGAGTACATAGAGCTCAGAGGTCTTCGTGTAGTGGACTTCTTCCGTCAGCTGGACAAAGACAACAGCAAGAAGATCTCAAGGGCAGAGTTTATGAATGGCGTCAAGAAAGCTGGCATTCCAATGACAAGAAAACAGCTAAAGAAGCTTGTTCGAATTCTTGACACAGACAATGACGGAAACATCGACTATGGAGAGATGATCGCCATTAAAAAGGACGAAGTGTTTGACTTTTATCACAAGAAGAAAGTGTACAAGAAAGACGACCCACAATTGCAGTCCTTTAAGAGTGCCCAGCAAAAGAAGCCTTGACTAAATTGGACCCAGCGTATATATTCAACTTACATGTAGACTATAAGAAAAATCACACTTTTTGTAGTGATGTAAATCTAATATTAACTTTTCGCTCACCTAGCCTAAAAAAATTGACCCTGATCCTCTACATCAAACATGTAGATAGGAGATCGAAATACACGAAAATATTTTGAGCAAGGCCCTATTTTAATACGTTTACGGTAGAAGAATATGTGCAAGAAAAGAGGACCACATTTAAGACCTTTAAGAGAAAGCAGAAGAGCCAGTGGGCAATTAAGTGTAAAATTAGATGCGTAAAAGTGTGTGCAGTAAAATTGCATAAAAACGTCGACTCTGCTTTTCAGTTGCAGTAATATGAACAAATAAGGCTTACATATATGATTAAACTTTTGCTGTTAAATTACTTAACGTCCTAAAACTTGGTCTTTTGTGGCTACAGTGCATATGCATACTAATATTGCAACCATGATTCGTAGATGAACTTCCGGGTGAAGTTAGTCACGAAAAAAGAGTTGCTGGCGACTCGGCAGCGCGGAAGTTATCTCTACACAAAGTCGAGTGAAAAGTGTCTGTCAGTCGATTGTCTGGTCTGTTAAAACCGTCAGTTTAGCCGTCATGGTATGGGCCATAAGACATGAGTAATGTGATTGACTGTTTGAAAATTATCATTGTTAAAAAAGTACATGTACAGTAACACATCACTGACAACAAATGTAAAGTAACCTAAACACCGACAATGTACAGACCTTCAAATCAAGTAAATGTACCTTCATCATCCATGGAAAATGATGTTCCTTGGGGTGCCTGGGCCTGTACTTGACCGGGCTCACAGGAATCACATGTTTGTGTCCCTGGGTGAATGTGCAGACAGAGTGTAGTGGTGCCAAGTGTAAGCTCATCTCCATGAGTGATGACACGTTGTTCACTTTTTTGTTTGCTCTGGAAGTCAAAATATACATGCGTCGGAGCATTTTCACTGTGTGTAGAAAAAAAATTACTTTTTCATTTCTACACTACATGATCGGCTTAAAAACTCACGCCACTTTTCATCCAATCAGAGGTAAAGCCACATCCAATCGTGACGCGCTCACACACGTTTTCCCGCGCTTTGTGTTAGCTACGTGCATTTACATTGATTTTTGATTGGTTCACTGTATTGTTTGTGTCCTTGGTGATTGGCCAGAGGGATTACTCTGGTTTTGGTTTTGGTTTTCTGATCCTAGGAGACTTTGCATATATTACCCTGTAGGAACTCTGCTCACCACATGTATAGCTCCCAGTTGACTTGACACATGAAGCTCAGTTGGTAGAGCACTGCAACAGTTCTGCAGAGCTCATGAGTTTGAATCCTGAATTTTTTTCTAGTCTTTATTTTTGCAATTGCTTACATTCTATATCTGCAATGATCTCTAATCTCTAAATTTATTTCCTAAAGTTCAAATATATGTCATATATTCACATGAAGAAGAGTTATTGCTGATACCTCAGAGAGTCGTCGTCCATTGAGAAATGTTCCATTTCTGCTGCCGACATCCCAGATGAAGAACTGACGTCTTTCTTTGTCAAACTCGATCTTGCATTGCAGCTGGAAGAAAGGCAACCACTTCCATCAGTTATTGTACTAACACTGCAAGCCGTTAAAAAAAATTCATAAAATATAACAAAAATATAACATCAAGAGGCTTGAAATTGAGAAACAAAATTCAGGAAGGAAGCTTTGAAGACTTTGGCATTAGTTCAAGTCTTAACATTTAGAAATGGGAGGGCAAAAATAAGTTCAGTGGTTGAAAATCCCTTGATTTTGATACACATAATGGAGTGACTTAAGTACAGTCAAGTACCTTGCTGACTTCCACATCAGGGATTCTTATAACATGTGACATATCTTTCTCTCTGCAAACAAAAACAGGGAAGTGTTTCCTTGACAGTCTACAGTAATTTGAGCTACTCTCAGAACTACTGATATTGTTACTGCATGTATATTTTATTGGTAAATATGTCTTGTTAATCAAGCACAAGTGCCATACTGGGGGAATATTGGCCCAAGGTTTTGACAGTATGGGCGGGGCACAGCGAGGTCTGTACAAAAAGGCCAAGGGCCGATATTCTCCCAGTATGGTTCTAAGCAAGCTTTGTTAATAAGAAATGTATTACAAGATTGAAAATGTTTAGAGAAAAGTGCCATAATCACTGAGACTGCAAAAAGCATGTAGTCCTGATTGGGAGCTGACTCTAGAGGCGTATACTCACGTCTGAAGTTAAACAAACCAAAAGCGAAAGAGGGTTGGGAGAAAAAGAAAAGGAATCGTTTATATTTAAGGCAAGTTCTTTCAGAGATTTTAAAGCCATAAAACAACCAAAAACTCTTCAATAGTGGTCGTGCAAGATCATTTGGAACAGCGCCAGGTCCAATACTACAAGAATATTGGACCAGCAATGGAGCAATCTGATTGGTTGATTTTAGTTATTTGGGCCCTCTGAACTAACTTAGTTGCGTAAATACGATAAATTGTAATGCCCTTATAAATGACTGGTGAATTCTGAAGTTCAAAACCCAACCAAAGAAATACATGAACTGTACACCATCAATCAGGACTGCAAACTTAAGACAGTCAATGAACCTTGACAAAAAAGAAACAAGCATAATGAAACTAAACCTCAGTACCCGGCAATCTCAACCAAAAACATGACCGTTTGAACCTACTGAAATGAAATTTTGAGAGAAGTCCCCTAAGATCATAAAAATTATACATGTTCAGAAGAAGAAAAAATTTCAAAGAGAAGAGAAGTCCCCTAAGATCATAAAAATTATACATGTTCAGAAGAAGAAAAAATTTCAAAGAGAAGAGAAGTCCCCTAAGATCATAAAAATTATACATGTTCAGAAGAAGAAAAAATTTCAAAGCATTTGTACATGTACATGTCTTTTGCTGCAAAGCACAGAACTGAGAGGGCAATATTTTGAGCTTGCCATGTAGATTTATTTCTGAATTCTGATACAGGGTGTAATCATTGACTAAATAAGATCAATTCTCAAAAGTGCTGTCAATCACTTCTCTTACCTGCCAATTGTTCCACCCGTGTATGTGACAATAAACAGACTTCCCACTTTTATTTTGGAAGCCTTGATTACTATTGCCCTGATACAAGGAAACTGCACTTCTATAACTAAACCAAAACAAATAATACTAATTTAGCTGGCACAAAAACCAAGCAGATAACATAAATAATTATCATATATGCATAATCCAGATGAAAGCACAATCATTTCTGCAATGAATCAATTCATGACTTTGGCTTTTCTGTTATCATTTGAGCTTGACCACTAAATAATATTTTATTTTGGTATACGTAAACTACATGTAGACCTTGTGAGGTACCCTTCAAGAAGTTGATTGCAGGGTACTCATGAGGTTATTCTCTTTTTCCAAAATTTGGGAAAATGCTGTTCTCTTTACCCTGGAAATTTCTAGATTTTCAATTCAAACTGGGATTTTTGGTCAAATTGAAAACAATCTGGTAGAGCCTAGCAGTAGTGGAGAGTCCAGGTGGTGTGCAGAAGTTACCAGCAAGTTCAAACTTGAAATTCAAATGTTTCTGCTAATAGTTTACTTCATGTCACAGACTGATCCATGAGTAACATCTTTTTTGACATCTTTGTTTCTGACAAAGCATAGACTTACAGACCTTCTAAATCCTTATCATTCTCCTCCTCATCTTCACTGTATTCTTCACCACTCTCCCTTTCCTCCTGATCATTTTTATCATCATTAACTGTTTTTTCTTGATTATTGGATAAGTCAATTTTGGAGTGAAACTTGTAAGTGGCACTTGGTTCATCATAATAGTAGTAAATTCCCGTAGTGTTCTCATAATGCAGGCGACTATTCTGAAAAAAAAAAAAAACATTAAGAGATTAAATAACAATCCCTTTGATGGGAAAGGCCACAATGACCACTGACAGTAAATTAATATCTTGTCTTCTGGACACTTTACCAACTGACCAGGATTATCAAAGGAATATTAACGACTTGGTGTGACCGTATGGAAAAATCTTGACCTCGGTCGAAATTCTCTAACAGAAAGTAACCCATATGCTTCCAGGCAGAGACAGACACTGATTTAAAATATGAAGTGTTTGTTCTAACCTGGAGGTCTCTATTTGAAGGTTAGTACACTAGCCTTACAGGTTGACATGTATGTTTAGTGCAATTTTGTATATTCGACTTACTGGGTCATAATAATAGCCAGTATTCCAGTCATAATACAGTCCTGTCCGCTCATCATACACAAATCCACTTTGGCTCATAGCATCAGCAGCAGCCTCTTGTAATGATGCTCGCAGGTCCTAGAGTGGTGTGGCAAATACAAAATATTACCATGAGGCAACAATTACAGTACATGCACCTCCCTGAGCACAGAAATGCAACTCATTTTGATATCTCAACAGAGTTACAAAGAAAGCATATTTACATGTACCAACTACTGTGCACTGTCAGCTAGTAACAGCCCACTGCCCCACCCATACCCCCCATCCCCCCGCAACAAAAAAAGGAGCAAATCCCTTAAAGAAACAATGGTCTGACTGAAAGTAGTGACATCAAACATAACTTGACTTTATATAAAAAGTTTATCTATAATTACACAGCCTTTAGGAGAGATGGACCTGACTTACTGTTTCTCTCTTTGTACAAAGAAACATAATATTATGATAATAATATATAATATTACTTAGTAATAGTATAATATTACTTGTAAGTAAGTAAGTAAGTAAGTAAGTAAGTAAGTAAGTAAGTAAGTAAGTAAGTAAGTAAGTAAGTAACTTTATTTAACCAGGGTAGCCCATTCAGCAATGAGGCTGGTATCCATAGGGGCCCTGGGGGTCTGGATAGCAGGTCTGGATAGCAGGAAGATAACTGTACAATTGATTTCAAAAAAATTTGACAATAAAGAAAAGCGTTGTTATTGTAATTCTTTTTCTAATCTTCCCACCATTGTACTCCTTAGCATTTCCAGTATTTATATTTTACGTTCTATGCACACATTGTAGCACAACAATGAAGGCATAATATTATGTTTCTGCTGAAACATGTCTGTGAATTTTAAAATTGTCGTCATTTAGTTGAAATTACTTTTAATGTCTAATGCCTTTCACAAAGTTCCACAGCATTTCTAATAATTTTCCTTGCAATGGTACATTATATTTTATCTTCCTGAAATTAAAGAGGGAAATCCCACAAAGTTGCGACTCCCCATAATAAGTGACATCAAACGGCTATAGATCTAGGATCATGTGTACTAAAGGCATCCACAGTCGAGTGTTGATCAATACTCTCCATCAATCCCTCGATCGACATCTCAATCCATACTTGATCAATATCCTGATTGATACTCAGTGGACACTCTATCGACTCTTGATCAACAGTGGGTCAACAGTTGGCTGAATGTCGACCCACTTATACATGNGGGGAGGGGATCAACGATAGATGCATTAAAATTAATGGTACAATTGTACACGTACAAAGTCATACATGTCTAGGTGGACTTGCTCATTAGCTGCTAAGACAATTCACCCACAAAGCAACAATTTTGCATCAGGTGTTAAGATCAAGGCAACAGTTGATTTAGTAGTTTATGACAGGCCCCCCAAAAGGTACACAGATACTGGAATTAACAGACAAAACCCAAAGCAAGCTACCTCGAATCTCTTTATAATTCTGCAGAACATCACTGTTTTCCCTTCTGCTCTCAGCAGTCTTCTTCCTCTCCTCTTGCAGCTTCTTGCTCAATTCCCTCACTTCACCTTTCAGGTTTTCTGCACTTCTCTGCGCACTGTCTCGTTCGAATTCAGCTTTGTGCAGTTTCTTTTTCACTGCTTCAAGCTCGCGTTTCAATTCGTCTATTTGGCTGTTCAAGTCAGAAATTCTGTCATATTGCGCCGCAGCGTCGCTGGAAACTTCGGTCGAACTTTCCACTTTGTTGTCTCCGTCTTCCATTCGAGACCATCGGTTGTACGATCTACAAAGAACACATAAACATGTTTGCTCCAAACTCCACCATGTCTTCCTCTCTCTACAATAGCTTGCAACATTGTACAGCAAGTAAAACCGCCACTAGCGATATCAGATTTCTTAAAATGCTGTAAGCATTTGGAAAGTTTACTCTGGCAAAGACCAACGCTATTTCCAACAGCGAGAGAATCCACGTTTCTAAGATGTCAATCGTTCTCTTCCGTGTCTTATCTTGCCGGCCACCTTGGTGATGTCTCGACCCAGACTGCTCACAGTTGCGTATTCGCCTCATCCCGGGGACGAGGTTCCCCAATTTAGCAGCAGGTGTATATGAATAAAAATATCATTCACGTTTCCAAGGCAAACATAAGCGGTTGAGCGTCTTTTTGTTTCAACAATATTTCATCGACAAAACAGGACTACGTTTGAGCTTTCAATTCCATACCGTCACTTTCTTCATTTTCTCCGAAGCCGATGACCTCACAAGATGTTCATAACTGTACGGTTTGCAGGTTTGGCGGACTTTTACCACTCAGACATTATGATTACTTGACTTAGCTTCAAAATATGGTTAACTAAATTCGCTAGAAAATAACGGCAAGTTAATTTTCTGCCAGCATGAGGGAAATCTTAAATCAATAGTATTTTCTCCACTAGATTTATAATATTTTAGTTGAGAATACTCCAGACATGAATGGAAGAAAAACGCTTCTTTGTTATACAGGAGAAGCGACCGAAGCATCTTAAAAGGCATTAATTGAACAATAACTTCTTCCTTAATGTTCATAAGACCTTTTTCGGAACAATATAAGATTCTCTGCATGACACAATACCACCAAAGAGTCACAAAAAATATGCTGGCTTTTCCTTTTTTCCATTCCTATTCAAAGAAAAAAATACTATCACATTAAAAATTATCGTCCGGTATGGAAATTAGGTTACAGCTATGGTAAATTCAAATTGTGTTTACAAGGAAGAAAGCCCTCTGTATTTACATTCACCTATAATGTATTGAAAATGTTAGTGAAGTTTCACGCGAACGCAGATTGCTTCCTTTTCTTTTATGAAACTTATAGGCTAAATTTAAATTAATATAGAATCGTTCCTTTTCCTTTCAAAGACTAGAAAATCATTTTACAATTACTGACTACAGTGGTTATTCAGAAAAGTCTCCGTAATCTTTCAATTTTGGAACAAATTCATTTTCATCGTAACGTAAACCGAAAACCTGATTTATGAATTTCTCTTCGCAGATGATAAAACCGAACTTTTTAATCCGAACTGTAGAAACTGCCTTCTGCTGAGCAATATCAAGGAGAGATGTGATTGCGAAGATGATGGTAACTAGATCTTGTTTATTAGAAAAGACTTCAGATGATGCTAGCGTTGTCGTGGTTAAGCTTAAAAGGCACGCTGAGGGCTATAGATAAACATTCCTCTATTTATTCAATTTAAGATTAAGTTTGAACGGAATTTACCGGTAAAAAGGGAGCAGGGAATTGCAGAATTTCTTCTTTTCTCTTTGTGAAGTTTTATATGTATAATTACATTGTAGGAGTAGGAAACAAAAATGGCCCAGTAGCATACAATTTGGGGTTGATTTTTCGGCAACCGATTTGTTATTTTCACGCAACTTAATTGATAGTCAGCTTTATGGACTACCTGGATTAATCGTGCTCGTAATTTTAAATCGGCCTCGCGCTACGCTCTATCCTGCTAGCTGAGCCGCTTCGATCTTTCCTAGATAAGTCGGGAAAGAGGAAGGCGACTTAAGGCGGCTTCCTCTTTCCCGACCTGTCTAGAAAAGTTCGAAGCGGCTCTGCTAGCCGGGTAGCTACGCACTCGTCCGATTTTGAACTTACACGCCCGATTACTCCCTGAATTGTACTCCACTCGGTTCAATTACTACTACTTATTGATCTAGTTTGGATGCCAGAAATCTCCTCACAATGAGGGAAATCATATCAAAATCGATAAAGGGATAGAATGTAACAACAGTGGGAATCAGAGACACAAGGTGTCGATAAAGTTTATGGCAGCTACCTTCCATTTACAAGCAGCTGCTAGCATGAGCATGGTTAAACCGACAAGCCTAATTTAGGCTCGTAAATCGCTTAACGCACCCCATGCTTCAACCAAGGAGAGAGGCCGTTGTTGCGCATGCGGTTGGAGGGTCGATCAAAAGATCTATCCGTTCCACGTGATTAAGATGCACACGACAGCTCCCATGACAACTGACAACTCTTCCGCGCTTTCTAGGATGAGAGGTAGAGGCTGCTGACAGAGGGAATTCTGCGATGGCTCTGATATATACAATTAACTTTCTAATGGTTCTTTTTTTTTCTTAGATTTTATTGACCTTTCTGATGAGAGTGGCTCACTGAAAAATCTTCAAAGTCATCCCCTGGATTACGGGACAAAATATTTGAATGAAAGAGAGATTCTCATTCTTGTAAAAGGAGAAAGTAAGTTACTTTTTTGTTGTTTTGGGCCACTCGAGCAGAATCTATTTCAGTCCCGTTAGAGATGACTGAGAATGCGCGGCTGATAGTACAGCCAATCAAATTACAGCATCGGCATAAGTATACCAGTAGAGTTCTATATATGAACTGTTGAAAGAGCACGGTCACGCACCCGTTGATCTGAGAATGGTACAATTAGTTTTGCCTTACAAATACATCAAATTGCAAGTTTTGGACTGCTAACCCTTACAGAGTCTACAAATTAAAACAGTTAGACTGTATACCCTTATTTATTTTTTTTGGAAATTATAGTCACCCATATAAACCTCCGGCTGCTACTAATAAAAAGACATAATTGAGATAACCAATCACGAATTTCCGATAGAAAAAGCTGTGTCTACTGACACTCTGACACATTACGGCTAGTTTAAGCTCTTCGGTTCCGGGCGGTTTTGTAGTTTTTGTATTTAAAGATATATTTCCAGAGAAAAGAGGTTGTGAGACAAGACCTCACCTTGAAATTAAATAACTTGCTAGCGATTTCAAAATCCTTTAGCATCAGTTTGTTAGACTACTTATTACTAAACGTTCCTCGCATTTAGACGTATTTAGTTCTAGTAAAACGTTGTGAAATTTTATAATCCGATTGTTTCAACGCTTTATCATTGGTTTGCCTTCTCTTTTTTCCCAGTTTCACATTCAATTACTTTGCATGTTTTCTGTTCACTTACCTTACAGAAACAGAAGGAGATAATATGACGTTTGTGCCTCTGTTGGAGGGAATGGAAACGAATAAGGCGTTCCTAGGTAAGAAAGCCCTTGCTTTAAATAATATAAATTTGAAGTTCATCCAGTTTATGATAAAAACACAAGAGTCAAAGGACTTTAGACAATTTGCAGTTAGTCTCAAGCTAAGATAATTTCGCTCTACACCGTCAACATGCAAGAACCAACAAGCGTACGTAAAGTCTTTAATACTCGTGCCTTGTAATTTTGTGTCTGGGCCAATAGTTTCAATTGCAATAATTTCAATAGTTTCAAGTGCACTGGCCGATAAAGGTATAATAAACAGACGCGCGCGTGCTGAAATCAATTCTGTTTCAACATTGTTTCATCCATATAAGTTTCTACCGGATTGAAGTTAGGTAGCCTATGTAATCAAAAAATAATCTGGAAATACCACGTTTTCTTTCTTTCAAATCTTGGCCGGCAAATTGCATGATGCTTAATAAACAAAGTTTCGTTCTTATCAACAACTCAACACCAATTAAAGACCACGCGACGTACGATCAGCGTACGTACAACCACTAGATCTGGGTAATACCAATATAACCATAATGTCACCATAAACTTCTCATAGTTCAATATAGAGTGTTTCTATCTTGTTTTCTTACATAGAGCGGCTAAATCCACCACCACCAAAACCCGAGAAAATGCGCTCGCCAACAAGAGACTCGCCGAGCAGGCTACAAACTGACGGAGCACGTGGGAAAAGAGCCTCACTAGCGCCAAGGCCTAAACAGGGTCAATTAGCACCTCCAGTTAGCTCATCACGAGGTCTGTCCCCTGGGAGGAGGGGCAGTAGAATGAGGAGTCAGAGCGTGCAACTCGCCCAAGCTCCACTTAGTGCCTCATTTAATGGCGCAAGACGGGCCCGATAACATGTGGAAATTTATTGGAGCTTCATTGAGCGACTTCGAGTCTTCGGCGTGGAAGGCGTCGAGCACCATTCCATAGAGGCCTGGATCAGAACAAAGTTTTTGGGCGTAAATGTTTCAAAATGGAATGGTGAAACTTTCTTTTGTTTATTTGGTGACGTTGAGTCAAACAAATAACGTGCCTGAATTCCCCATAAAAGACTGATAAAAAGGATTCGTCATCCTTCATGTTCTTTTTTTCATGAAGAAGTAACGTAACATTCAAGAACAATATAACTTGAGTTTCATTTGGTAAAGTAACAGACTAATGCAAACTGAAAGATCACCTTAGCTTCCTCTCTCCACTTTTCCTTTCCTAATTACAAGACATTTAAATATCCTTATCACCCTAAATAACGCACGCTTACACGATATATATCAATAAATATCATAAGTGACAAATAAATAACTTGAGTCCTGTTTTGCAGTATTTCTATCTATTCATTGTACTTTATGTTCTGTATATAATTTATGTATTTACATGGTTTCATCTGCCACCGTATAAACATTTCATTTTGTCAGGGCTGAACATTTTGGAGAAAAATTATCTAACGATAATTGTCTATCGAGAGGTTATTTTGTTGTTTTGGAACAAAATTTCGAGGTTAGTGACCCAAAAATTGACTCTTCATACAGTGATTTCCTTATTGCACTTTTTCGGTCTACGAAATGTAAGAATCTCAAAAAGAAAAAGAATAAACTGCTGGCATCGTTCATTGTGATAGTGTATAAGGCCATGGCCAGAAATATTCGCCAGTAGGTCGGTAGGTTAAACAAAAGAAAAAGCTGAGAATCAAAGAACTACGGACGTGTGAGTATTACGGACAACTCACTTGGTCCTGAAGAATATCCAGAGTTCATAAATTTTCTTTATCTCTATACTCAATACGGACACCTCCATAGAACAGACACTATACGCTCGAGACCTTCTGTGTCCGTATTAAGGCCCAATCAATCAAGCCTTGATTATATCTGGCCTGTGATCCATTTTCATACGAGCCAAATTTGTTCGGTTGGGCGATGAGAAACTAAACATTTTATAGCGCCGACCGAAGATATATATTATTACCATGAAAAAAGACCATTCAACAGTCAGAATCCACTCCGTCATTTTTTCGTCCCCAGCCACTCGCGCCTCTGTCAGACCTGGAATGTAAGTCTACATTCCAACATTTACAAACCTGACTAACGAACTGGCCTATGGCTGACTTGAAGACCACGCGGCGTATTTGGCGATTTAAAAAGCCATATAACAACGGATTGACAGCTGTCATGCAAACGAATATCCATGTCACAATGAAGTCTAAGACCGCTGAAGGGGTTTGCTGGGCAAAACCCGACCAAAGGCCGATGATGTAATACGGAGCTAAGTTAACTATGAAAGTCAAAAGTAAAATGAACGCATTCTGAACTGTCTTCTGTTCATATACAGAGCTCTGACTTGTTAAAGTTTGCCTTAGAAGTTCTCTTCGTCTCTTTATCTCCTCTTTTTGCGATGTATTGTCATTTCTTAGGGCGGTTGACTCGAAGGAAAACGATGTCGATGTGGCTGGCGAAGAGACATTTTCTCTTTCGGAGCCAGTTGTAGGCGATGAAGTGCTATTTTGTGAATTGTTCCTTTTAAAACAACTCACCAGTTTTTGGTAACAAGTCTGTGAATTTCTTCGAGGTAAATTGTCCGAAAAATACCCAGACCGAAGTCCTTGAAGGGTGTTGTAGTCAGTTTTAATTCTTTGACGCTTCGTTTTCATATAAATAGCGCGATAAATGTACAGAAGAATCACAAACGGCACAAGAAAACTCACAACTACCAGATAAATAGAGTACACGAGGCCTGGTCCGCCATTTTCCCAGTCAACTGAACAATACCCTTTCCCGGGAATGTATCTGTAAAAATTCCAACCAAACAATGGAGGAACAGCTGTGACAAGTGAGGTGAACCAAACGAATGCCACCATCGTTCTCGCTCGACGGCTACTTATCGTAACAGACAGAGGCTTGACAATAAGATAGTAACGGTGAATTGCAATAGTGACTATCGAAAAGTTGGACGCCATAGATACCAGATTTATCAGCATGCCTGAAGTCTGACACCATGTGTTATCAAATGGCCACTGGTCCATAATCACTGACGCCATGGTAAATGGCGTATGTAGAATAGCTAGACTTAAATTTGCCACTGCCAAGGAGAAAGGGAATATATTTGCAGGGATCTTAAGGCGGTGGGGCTGTAGCATGGCGAAGCATATGGTGATGTTGGCCAGGAAAGCGATCACGAAAAGGATCCCAAGGAAGAATGCTTCAGCGACCTTTTCCGATTGTGAGCGGCTGGCTGGTGAGGTCAGGAGACCATTCATTCTTTTGACCTTGGATACAGAGAATAATTCATTCTTACCATAATTCTGTGGAGGAAAAAAAATTGATTAGAATGGTACATTACTACAGAAAAAAATGATTAACTGCAGGAAACGGGCCCCAGGCGTATAAATGGGTACCGGCGAATGAAATGCTGGA